CCACCGCTTGCCGGCGGCACGGTGCAGCAGCAGCAGCAGCAACCACCACCGCCGCCCGACGGCGGCAGGAGGGAGCAGCAGCAGCAGCAGCCACCGCCGCCGCCTGACGGCGGCGGCGAGCAGCCACCACGTGCGCACGCCACCCCTGCCGCGGCCCCCCACCCGCAGCAGCCGGCCCCCACCGTGTCACCGCCCTCACCACCGGCGGCACAGTGGCCGCCCTTGGCCAGTGCCGTGGTTCCTTTAGCGGCGGCCACGCCTGCTGCCCCGCCTAACCCCAAGTCGCCTGCGGCAGACGAGCGGCCCGAATCCTCAACTGCGCGGCGGCGACGCCAGCGGCGGGAGACGGCGGCGAGGCACCAGGCGGAGGCCGCCACCTCCACACCCTCATCTCGTGCCCCATCCCCAGTCGAGGTGGCCCCTGGGCACGTCTTGACGGCCCTGCCCAGGCGGTCGGCTCGGCTAGCCCGGGGTTGAGCTTATCCGGCGCTTCATTAAATGCCTCTTGCTATCTTTATGCAGATGCCCACCGTGTGTATTGCTTGGGGCATGCGGCTTATAATTTTGGGTGGGTTTTGTATTTGCTGCAATGTTGTGTACAGCTCTACCCCCCATACCTGAATCTCTTCCCTCATGTGTTTTGTGTTGGTGCATACTTTTCCAGCTGTTTGGCACCACAGCTGGGCCCGTAGCATTCATTTGCTCCTTATGGGTGTAACAGACAGACAGACGCCAGCCTACCTGCAATCCACCATCAGGCTCCCCACTGCGCCACGCAGCTGGCAACAAGCTCCCATCCTGCCTGCATCCCGTCCTGGGTTTGCAGGGCTGGCGGCCAAAACGCCACTGTGGACGCCCCGCGGGGCAGCCCCCCGGTGCACCTGCGCGGTGGCGCAGCCCTGGCCATGCAACAGCCTGGGCTGACCACCAGCGACGTCAAGGACTCCCCACTGACTCTGGTGATGGGCCTGCCTGCCCCCGTGGCCGGCGGCGGCGGCGACGGCGCGGAGCTGGCAGCACTGGGGTACATGTTCAACGACGACGGAGACTCCATCCAGGTGCAGTGACCAATTGCCAACAGGGCTGACCTGCCTGACCCGCATGCATGCCGGCCTGCTGGTTCAGCTGCTGCCGGTTCTTTTGGTTGCATTGTGGCCATAAGTCGATGTGGCCTCAGCTGCTCTGCTTCTGACGAACGGATGCTGGCCTGGCTGCCCGTCCACTTGCAGGTCAACTCCAGCTGCTGCAATTTCCTGACCTTCTCCGCTAATAGGGGGTTGAACTTTGAACTAGAGAGTTTATATTGGGCCAAATGGGGCGTACAGGGTACCATTGGACGCGTCTCGACGAGAAGAATCCAACCCACCATGTTTAGGTCATGTTTAGATGTGTGGACCCCCCTCAAAAACGTGAAAAACTGTGTTTCCTGCAGGCAGGCGCTGCAGGCCCAGTATACGATGGATTTTGGGGGTTTATTTAGGGTTTAGGGTGACGAGGAGGCTGCCCGGCAGGAGCCCGCCACCAAGCGCATCCTGGAGCTGGGGCCCGGGCCGGCTGGCCTGGGCGCCGGCACGGTTGCGGTGAGTGGCTGCGGTGCGGGGCATGTGCGGCTTGCTAGCCGTTTGGGGTGGCGGTTGGGGGTGACCACCGGTGCTACCCTGCGGTTGGCGGGCGGTGCGCGCTGGGGATAGGCGGCGCCTGCATCCTGGGTTGCCTTGCGGTTGCTGGGGGCGTGCTGCCTGGGGGGCGCCTGCGCGCGGCGCCCCCTAGCGCTGGCAGCCCAGCATGCGCTGGCGCAGGCCTGCTGGCGCAGGCCTGCTGGCGCAGGCCGGCTGGCACCTGCGGCGCCAGCGTTTGTGCACGCTGGCACGTGAGTGAGCGGTACAGCGGCTGGGCCCAGGCGCCGGCAGTGCCCTGGTGGCTGCGCGCCCTGTGCTGCCTGCACCGGCCTCTGGGGGAGCCCTCATGCCATGCGCTGCCCGGCCAGGGCGTTGGGAATGCCCCTAGCGTGCGGCCCAATGTGGCCATGGGGGGGGAGCACCCCCTTTGCACCTTGCGCTGCCCGGCTCGGGCACTGGGGGAGGGCCCCCTGTTTGCTGCGTTGCCCAGTGCGGGCCAGTAACCCAGCTGTGCTGGGCGCGGGAGCCCACTGGCGGAGTGCTGCGCACCCGGGCTGACCGCTGCTACTCGCCGCCCGCCTGGCGCCACTGCAGGGCGGTGACAAGCAGGTGGTGCGCATCGCCGGTGATGAGATCGCGCGCGTAATCAGCGAGACGGGGCTGCACTTCGTGGAGAGGAACCCCATCGTGGTCTATGCGGAGGAGGGCCAGGCCGCCCGGCTGCAGACCGACATCAGCGCTGGCCTGGAGGTGAAGACCCGCATGCTGGTGGGCCAGACCCTGGAGGCGTTGCGCACCCAGGGCACCGGCAACGCCTTCGTGGTGGAGGCATTGCTGCGCCAGTTCCTGGTGGAGGTGCGCGGTGGGCGAGGGCTGCTCCAGTGCGCGGTGTCGCGGTAGTCTTGGGGGCCCATGGCAGTGGCGGGGAGGGCTGGGCGGCTGCTGCCCTCCCCCCAGCGGCACGGCAGCGGGTGTACGCGCCGCCCCGGCCCTGAGCCGCCTCGGCCCTTCCGCCCTTGCGGAATGCAGCTTAAGGCAATCTACCCGCCGGAGCTGGGGCCTCTGATGGACTGGCTGGAGCAACTCCTTGCCACCGTGCGCGCCGCCAAACCCCGGGCCGGTGAGACCATGGTGGAAGCAGCGGTGCACGCGGGCTGCGCTTACCTCAAAGACGAGCTGCGCAAGGTGTCTGAGAAGGTGCTGCTGATGAACCTGAAGCGGTCCAACATGTTCAGGCCCCACGCTGTCACCCCGCGCCCGGCCAAGCGCCAGTTGGGCAGGGCTGGTGCGCGCCGGGCATGCCCGTCGAGCGCGTGGCAGACCGGGCAGCCACCCCGTCCTGGGCAGGCATGTGTGGCACTGGCAGAGGGGGCTGTCTTGACCGGGCCGGCATGCTTGGCCCTTGCCGCAGGCCCAGCCGTCGGCTGGCGGCGCTGGCTACCCCAAGGCGGCCCGCACGGACCAGCGCACGGACCAGCAGATTTGCCGCCAGTTTGCTGCCAACGGGGCCTGCAACTATGGCGACAAATGCAAGTTCAAGCACGTCCCCCCCCGCTCCGGCACGCCCGCCCCGTAAGCGGCCACGCTGCCGAAGCTTTCCGCGGGAGCCGCGGCATGCCAGCCCTGACCTGCGCTCGCTGGCTGCTTGCTGCGGCGGCCGCCTGCTTCCTTGTTAGTCAGCGCCCGATTAGGGTTTTAGGGTTTTTAGGGTTTAGGGTTTTAGGGTTTAGGGTTTAGGGTTTAGGGTTTAGGGTTTAGGGTTAGGGTTTAGGGTTTAGGGTTTAGGGTTTAGGGTTTAGGGTTTAGGGTTTAGGGTTTAGGGTTTAGGGTTTAGGGTTTAGGGTTTAGGGTTTAGGGTTTAGGGTTTAGGGTTTAGGGTTTAGGGTTTAGGGTTTAGGGTTTAGGGTTTAGGGTTTAGGGTTTAGGGTTTAGGGTTTAGGGTTTAGGGTTTAGGGTTTAGGGTTTAGGGTTTAGGGTTT